GCGCGGCGCCGGCGGCCGTACCCGGAAGTCATGGAGGTGAGCGGTGGGCGGCGCAGGTGGGAGGGTAGGGGAACGCCGAAAGAATAATGCGCTGGCCGTCAGACACTGAGCTTTTGTGAACCCACACTTCACAAATGCTGTGAATGATAAGATTGCAGCCTTTAAACGTTTATTTATTTGAAAATCGTTACGTAAATTATCTTTCAATTTAATCACAATGTTTTAATCATACAGCTCTCCCAGTAGTTATAGCTGTGTATAGTCTGTTCTTCAGATATAACTAGAGGCCCGGGCTCGGAATCGGTGCATCTGGGTGGTCCCTCAGGCGGCCTAAGCCCGCAGTGGGACATGCTTAGCGCTGCCCCTGTGGGAGCGCACTGACCACCAGGGAGCAGCTCCTGTGTTGAGCGTCTGCCCCCTGGTGGTCAGTGCATGTCATAGCAACCAGTCCTTCTGCTGGTCAGTCGAATTGCATATTAGCCTTTTATTATATAGGACTAGAGGCCTGATGCCCAAAATTCGTGCAAGAGTAGGCCTTCCTCCCCTCAGCTGTCAGCGCTGGCTTCCCTCGCAGCCCTGGCCTCATATGGGAGGATGTCTGGTCTAATTAGCATATTATGCTTTTATTATTATAGATATTCTTGGGTTAAGTGTATAGTTAGCACTCGTGTGCCTTTACTTCCCGTAAGGCAGTGTCTTTTATGTTCTATGTTTCAGATGTCGCAGGAGGATCCTGTTACCACATGCCTTTCTGCCCCGGTGTACCATCTGATCTGTGAACTCGGGCTTGAAGTCCGAGAACATCCTGCTATCAGTAGCATTGTGGCTGGGAACGGGGAAGTGTGCTGGAAGACAATCACCGACTGTGTGGTTGGTGCCGAGTCAGGTCTGCACTTTCTCTGCACCCCAAACATCCCTGGATACTTTTCATTTTAAATGTCTCGACCGCCAGTATTCCCCTTGCCTACCATTGCTTGCAGTGGTTCTCAACCTTCCTAACGCCGCGACCCTTTAATACAGTTCCTCATGTTGTGGTGACCCCCGACCGTAAAATTATTTTCGTTGCTACTTCATAACTGTAATTTTGCTACTGTTATGAATCATAATGTAAATATCTGATATGCAGGATGTATTTTCAGGGGTTGCAACCCACAGGTTGAGAACCACTGGAGAGGGTGTTATCATAAAGGCCTCACTCAAAAGATAAAAGGAATTGCTGTGAAAAGAGGGAATGAGGCCAAAGAAGCATCGAAGAGTTCAGGGGAAGCTGGGCCGAGAAACCTGTGTGTGAGAAGGGAGGTTGGGAGGCAGTGAGGGTGATGGTCTCAGCTCCAGGCCAGCAGTCCAGATGGAAGAGGGTAGAAAATACAAGTCATGAATTAGGTATGAAATGACCAGTACCATGTTACATAATTATTTTAGATGCCTTCCACCTGTTTTTGCACATTTTTTTGGAGCAGGGAGTTGGCCTGGAAATTTAACAATAGTTATAAAAATGACAAATAAATGTGCTCTGGCCCAGCAGTTCCATTCCAGGAATTTATAGGACTGGCACACTTACAGACAGCAAAGTGTGTGTCAGCAAGGGTTCTCCTGCAGTGTCGTTTGTAATAGCCAAGAAGAAAAAAGCACTGGAAACAGCCAGATGTCAGGCAGTAGGGATCGCTTCAGAAAATCATGAACAAGTCACAGTGGAACACTGCAGTGGGAAAAAGAATGAGGAGGCCTCTGTTGATGTTGTTTTTGTTGTTGTTTTTTTTTGGTCTTTTTTTGTATTATAAAAAATAATCTATTTCTATGAGAAAAGAGGCGTCTGTATATTTGGGAATCTTTTTCCGTTTCAAGCATTAAGAACACTTTTAATAAACTTTTTTTTTTTTTTGAGAATGGTTAAAAAAAAAAAAAAAGAATGAGGAGGCCTGGCTTTCTGACCACCGGAATCTCTTAGCTGTGTTGCTAAGTGAAAAAATGAGGATCATATATTTGCATTTGCTTTTATATGTGTAAATATTTCTAAATATACACAAGGAATTAATAACAGCAGCTGCTCTAGGAAGGAGAATTCAGTGGCCAGGAGGGAGACTTACCCTCTTATATTTTTTTTTATCATGAACCATGGGAATGTTCAAACTTCTAAAATATTTCATATTATAAATATGTTCTAAAATAATTAAGATCATTGGAAATCGCACAGTCTAATGTTAAGTAAAAAAGGAGTCAGTTTAAAGTATTATATATGCTGTATGAACCTGATTTTCTATAAACTTATATACAGGTAAAGAAATTGAAGAAAATATTTTTCTCCTGTTTGAAACTTTCTGTATTTTCCAAATTCTCTACCAATAGCATATTTTTATGTTATAATCAGATGAGCACCATATAACTTATTTCAAGGTAGGTGTATCTTTTTTGTAAGTTCAATTATAAACTGGATGTGGACTTTGTGGGAATTTTATAATTAGAGCACTTTTTCTCTGATGACTCAGATATTTTTCTCCCCATGATATAGGAGCAGAGGTGCTAACTTGTTTCTCATCCTTGAAGCCCAGGGTCTGGACTACCAGGGAAGCGTGAGGCTGCTGGGCCCTGTGTGTGAGGCTGTCCACATGCATTTCTCATCTCTGGCCAAGGGGCAGTTTGAAGTTCAGTATGCACCGTGGCTCCAGTGGACAAGTTCTCCAGAGGTTCGGCCTTTGCAAATTCCACTTAGAAACCCTGTTACTTGCTCATGTGAAAGGGGTCTCTCTGGAGGGCCCGGAGGGGAACTTGGGACTGTTATGCAGAGTCTCTGGGTCTGAGCTGAGAAGCACACCCTTTGACCAAGGGGAGTATGGAGGTGCAGCATCAGGATGGGGGTGGAGGGAGCTTGGTCTGTGGGTGCTGGTCCTGGACAGAGGCAAAGTGGGCCTCTGCAGAAGAGAGACAGCCCTGCTGGCGGAGCGAGGTCATCTGGAGACAGTGGCCCCGGCCTGCAGGGGTGCTGGCCTCGGTCCTGCTGAATCGGAGGGAGAGGGTCCTTCGAGGCCCAAACCTGGTTTCAGCTGCTTTGTTGGTTGGTGAAAACCAACGATGTCACGTGGCACAGTAAATGACCACAGCAGAGCAGTGCCTCTAGCAAGTCTACCTCTGAAACCCTGGAGTTTCCTCATTCAGTGTGAAAGGGTCATTCCTGCTCCCTTTGCAATAGCTCTCAGAAGCAGCAGGGTGAGCTGCTGTATGTTTATCTTAAGAACTAATCCAAATTGGAAATAAGATTTAGGTAGAAATATTTGACTTCTCGATGTACAGTCACACCACACTTCCTGTTTTCAATAAATATTAAACAAAGAAAGGACATTCAAAGAACTCCTTAGATATTACTTTTTTACTATTTAGAAGTTATATTTGTAGGAAATGTTTACCTATACCCCCCCAAAAAATCATTAAAATATGATCATCAAAATCTTTAGAGGTCTGACTCTTATGAACAGTATTGTTACTTGGAGAAATATTTCTTATTGAGCATAAATTCTAAAGCGTGTCTTATTCGAAACAGTTGTTTCCAGAAATATTTGATGCCTTGGAGAGTCGTGAGTCCCCTGCGATTGCTCTCAGCCTCATGAAGCTGACGGCCTGTCTGGAACGGGCCCTGGGTGATGTAAGTGTGAGAACGCTCATTGTCGGGCCGTTAAAGTACCTGAGTGAATGTTAAACTGCCCTGTGGGTGCCCTCAGGTTCCTTGATTTTAATTATCGCTCTCCTCTAAAGTGCAATTATTTGGTACAGAGTTTTAGTATGTTTTGGGTGATTATGACATTAAAACATGGGTGTCTTCAGTAATTGTCTGCCACCATTTGTCCAAGCAGTTGCCTTATGGGTGATTTTTCCCTGAATATCATTTGGCTCACTGGAATGCAGTTGCTACATGAATTTTGTTTGAATTTTAGGTGTTTTTACTGGTTGGGAAAGAATGCCCGTTTCTTTTAAGAGATCTGCTTGCCTCTGCGGAGCTTGCTCACGTCTTCGGGCGGTCTGTGGTAAGCTGGCCCCCACGGCCACAGAGGAGGCGCCACACACGGCAGTGAGCCTCCGCTGCACTTGTGCTCCTCAAAAATAGATGCTGATGGGATGTCGTCACCTCACAGGTGGAGGGACCTCAGAGCTTCCCACAGCCTCAGGTTCCCCTCAGCCGCCCGTCCTGTTCACACACAGGCCCCCGCCCGCGGCACACTGTGGCGCTTCCTGTGTGAGTTTATCTCGATGTCAGGCTGTTTGATGCCCAGCGCCGCCTGGGACAGGTCCCACCCTCGCCCTGCCCGGGGTCCCCTCTGCACGCTCCTCTCACCTGCACAGTGGGCCTCACAGCAGTGCCTTCCTCGTGGGCGGGTCTGAGGATGGGCGAGGCAGGTGCACGCAGTAACTGCTCAGTAATTGTAGGCTGTTTATTACCTCTGTGCCGACGACTGTGTACTAACTAGGGCTGTGGTGGGCAAACCGTGGCTCGCAAGCCACATGCGGCTCTTTGGCCCCTTGAGTGTAGCTCTTCCACAAAATACCACATGTGGGCGTGCACATACAGTGCGATTGAAACTTGGTGGCCACACTCAAGGGGCCAAAGAGCCGCATGTGGCTCGAGAGCCACAGTTTGCCAACCACTGAACTAGGGGAACTGCTGTTGGAAGGAAGGAAACGTGACTTGTTGCATCAGTGATTTATTAATGACCGCACTGCCCACCCCCTGCTGTCCTTCCCTGCCCAGATGGACGTCCTGACGGTCTTCGTGGGCTCTCCGCGCGGACTCAACCTGCGCAACGTCCTGTGGCACGGGTTCGCGTCC